AGCTGGAGAAAAGTGTCAGGAGTGATCTGTGACAGAAGAGTGTCAGCTAAGGTGAAGGGAAAGGTTTACAGGACAGTGGTGAGACCAGCCATGATGTATGGTTTAGAGACAGTAGCAATAGGCAGAAGACAGGAGGAGGAGCTGGAGGTGGCAGAGTTAAAGATGCTAAGATTCTCTTTAGGAGTGACAAGAATGGACAGGGTCAGGAATGAGGTCATTAGAGGGACAACACAGACAGGAAGGTTTGGAGAAAAAGCTAGAGAAGCCAGATTGAGATGGTTTGGACATGTGCAGAGGAGGGACAGTGGATACATTGGTAGAAGAATGTTAGAGATGGAGCTACCAGGTAGGAGAAAGAGAGGAAGGCCAAAGAGGAGATATATGGATGTAGTGAGGGAGGACATGCAGGTAGTTGGAGTCAGAGTAGAAGATACAGAGAACAGGGAGAGATGGAAATCAATGATTTGCTGTGGCAACCCCTGAAAAAAAAAGGGACAAAGAAGATGATGAATATATAATAAATTTATAATTTAAATAAAAATCATATGAAAATAAAGATTAAATGCAATAATCATTTAAAATTCAATTTAAATATAAATAAATAAAAATATTTTAAAAAATTTAAACTAATTACCTTTTTACCTAACCCTACCTCTAACTGACAGTATAACTCTAAACCTTGTTTTAATCCAAACCCTTATTATTGTCATCGTTGTTACTCTAACCCAGGGTCTAACCAACGTGGTGCCCGGGGCCCCCTGGTAGCCCCTGGAACTACCCAAGGTGCCTGTGGGGTATGTTCTAAAAATAAACCTTGTCAACAAGAGGGTCAAAAAATATACTTTTACTGTGCTTTTTTTAATCAGTTCCACTAGCAATGATATTCAAATGGTTGCAGTGACGATGGTAAGCAGAGTGTCTGCTATTGTATGTCCCAGAACTAATTATTATTACATTGTTCAGGAAGTATGAAACTAGTAGCTATTTATATTACTGTGCCCTTGAAGTAAGTCTCAGCTTCAAAAAGTTGGTGATGCCTGCTCTAACCTTTTCTGTAGGCATACCAAACCTCTGAATTACAAAAACGACTACATTTGCGAAAATCTTAGAGTGATTGGACAAACCCAAAAGTCCAACCATGAAATGGATGAACTAACCCTAACGCTAACGTCACACTCATCTAACCCTAACGCTGCCTCTTCCAGATGAGCATCGACTTTACTACAAAACAGCTCTGCACACCAGCAGTTACTCTTTTATCTTTATTTTGTCAGAACAATAAAAATAGTTTAACAAACAAAGACTTCTTCATTCTCTCCATTTCAACTTGTATTCATAGCTGAAGATGAGACAAATGCCCAGTCGTGTCCATTTCATCTCCACTTGGCTCTGTTCCGACCCTGATCCTCCCTCTCCATCCCAGGCAGATTCGATGGAGCACCAGGGCCTATTGCTGTGTCTTTAACGAGGTATGCAGGCAATGTCATGATTGGTGGTGACAAGTCATTATTATTGGACTTCTTTTTGTTCAGAACTGCACCACAACCAAACTGTCTGTATACAGATGGTAACATTTAGCAGCTTATGACACGTGAATCATGCTTTCTGCTTAGGAGAAAATGACACAAGTTCACTTTGGAGAAAACACACAAACTGGAACGAAGGGGAAGACGAGATAAGTGACGAGTCTCACCATTGGTTGTACGGATGATCAAGCCATGTGGAGGGTCCCTGAGGGAAGTGGAGAGGGGTTGGTGTCAATACAAAAGTAAGTCAAAGTAAAGGTAAAGGTTGAACGGTCAGCTTCAACAACAGAGCAGCTACGACACTGCAGTGATATTGAATAATTACATGGAAGGGTGAGGTGCAACACGCACAACCTACAGACCCTAAAAGGCTTTTTTTGTACAGTATCTAAAGAACCTTCTAAATGTCACGACGCAACTCGGCGTTTCTAGAGCGATCAAAGAAAATGTTACATCAAGTTGGATTTTACAAATTTTTACCTCTAACTCTAAATCTGTAAATCTGAGGAGTGAAGTTGGTCTCCACGTCCAACAACATTCTTTTCAAATGCAACGGATATGAAACCTAGTCTGAGCAAAATCTATCGAAGATGTAGATCTTATAACGAAAGTAAGCAGCTAGTAAGACGCCAAGTAAAATTAGCTTATTAACATAAGCGAGAAAAAGTTTATGCTGTCTTCGTTTCTTATAGCATTAGAATGTGGGGGAGGCAATAGTAATGGAATCCTTGTGAGGCGTTACCGTCCCGTCTGGATGAGAAAATACAATCACATGAATCAGGGCTGAGTGGCTGAACAATCAACAGCAGAGAAAAGGAACGATGCCTGAGTAGTTGAGGCCTTTGTGCACCTGATCGGAACAGAGGTATCAATACAGTCTGGGGGGGGGAAAAAACAGTCATACTAAGTTCACTCAAAAAGTTTAAAATGTAGAAATATTTTACACCAGAAAAAGCACTAACAGAAAAATATCTATATAACTGCAACCCAGTAGAGAGTGCCTTTGAAGATTCTCATTCGTCCAAGTCATGTTATCCGGAGAGTTGAGTTGTCAGCAACTGGACTTCTTCTTAGAGCTTGAAAGACGTTTCGTTCCTCAACTGAGGAACTTCATCAGTTTGGGTTTCTTTCAAGCTCCGAGAAGAAGTCCAGTTACTGACCGCAGAACTCTTTAGAACCCAGTACAGAGATGACGGAGACGTAGGAGATAAAGCCCAAACAGACAGAGGGACCGAAGCAGAAAATCTTTGAGTCCATGTCAGAGTGTTACTACAGTAGTCCAGAGGTCTGCAAGTAAAAATGGTGGATATGAGCACCATCTCTATGGCTGAAGGGAGGGGAAGGGCCAGGGGCGGGGTAACGGGGGGGTCACAGGTCCAATCAGGTTGCAGGGTCATGGCTGTCAGAGCTGGTTTCCAGTGCAGAGCGGCACTCTGGCACAGTGATGAGGATAATGATGTCTTAGTGTCACGTCGGATCACACAGCAGACAAGTAGTCACAGAGCAGGAGTGAGCAACAGTGGGCTGCTTTGGCCAACAGGGGGCCCCAAAATGTACCCCCCTCCCCTCGGGCACAAACGGTCCAAAGGCCCGGCCTTTAGCGTTCCCATTATTCCGTGGTGCTCCAGCAGAGTACAAGCTAGGACAGAACGGAACTGGATGTAGTCACATATCAAATGTTCCAAAGGGATCGATACAAAGAGTCATGGGGGCGGTTACTTCAGTGAACCTTTGAGGTCAGAGGGATCGGAGGATTTTCTTCCACCATTTCAGTCACTTTTGATTCAGACCCCACTTCAGGGAGGGGGCGGGTTGGAGGGCTCATTCGTTTTTTCACTGGTCATCACAGCCTCTGGGCCAATGTTCTGAGTTCTCCTGTTGTGACACAGAACATGTAGATTTAAGAACAAAGAGAACGATTGTACTCGAACATACACAGTATGCTTAGCTTTAGCAAGAAGGCATTTATGTATTATTCACTTAGGGACAGCAGAGGGAGCTAGAGGCAATACCAGCAGAAATTAAATAAAATTAACAAAATCAAAAAATGTTACTATAATCAGCCAATGACCAAAAAATAATACTTCAAACTTGTTACGTCAGTTTTCTGAGTAATGCCGATGCAGTGTTTCTCAATGTGCGGGTTGAGCCCCCAGACATAAGTCAGACTCTGCTGGTGTTTTTACATCATAGATCAGGGGTGTCAAACTCATTTTCTCCGGGGGCCACATCATCAATACAGCTCCCCTTGAAGGGCCAGTTGTAACTGGAAGACTGTATAGATCAGGGCTCCCCAACCCTCGGTCTGTGGACCAGTACTAAATGCTTTTTAAGCTCCCGCGGGCCACACAAAATGGCTTGGCGGGCCCCAGACCTTGAGTTTGACATGTATGTCCTAGATTATGATGCTACCACTGTGTTAGCATAGGTGAGTGACACAGGTACTTATGTACAGTATGCGAGTTCTGACCCAAAAACATAGGAATGGCACTCCGATGTAACCCCCGTGCAATGTTTCAAACAGTCAATAGTCACAGTCAGACTTTCTGAGTTAAACAGAGACAAGACCTAATATTATTACAATAAAGTAGCAGCGAAGCAGCTAACATGTAGCAGCTTCCTAATCCTATTTTTGAATACACATTCTCAAATTTAAAAAAAATAGCAACACATTTCACAATCTTGATTTTGAAAAATCAAAATGACTCACCAGTCGTGTCCACCTGCGTCCTGTGAAGCCTAGAGTTACCAAATGTTTCAAGTGGCTTCTGAAAGTTCTTTCATTGGTTCCTTCATTTTAATACAAGTCTGATCCAAAGTTAGAGCAGAAAAAAACAGTCCTTCATGGTAAAAGCCACTAATGATTAAAAAAAAAAAAAACCCCACAAATATTAGCTCAAGTATGGTTCTGCAGTGACATTCAATCAACCAAAAATCTTCAAAAATTTCACTTCTTCAATTGTTTTGATTTCTCCAGTGTTTTTTTTTTTGTTCCATGTGTTAAAGGTCCTTCTGTTCCAGTGAGGGAAAGGAAGAAAAAAAACCTCCAAAAATGTCTTCAGTTTTGCATGAAGGCATGAAGTCATTTGTCAACAAACACTGAGTCGCTCCTTGCCTTTAAAGTTAATATATATATATTTATATATAAAAATGGTGTCCATAAATAATTAAACAATGTTCAGTAGATAAAATACCACTTGCATTTCTGTCCTGAAATGATCACTTTGTGCTTTCTGCAAAGAAAAACAATTTTGAAAAATAAGCAGCAAATTCTTTTTTGCCAGAGGTTAATCCATATTAAAAAAACAAAACAAAACAAAAAAAAAATCAAAACAAAAAAAAAAACATTGTCTCTTGAAATTTAAAAGGTTCTGCTCTATCTGTGTCGATTGGAAATTCCATTGCTGTTTGTAGCGGGCTCTTCTAGGTCGTCGTCCTCGAAGCCGTGGAAGGTGGAGGTGTCACTCTCCGAGGTGGTGCCGAACAACTCTTCAGCTCCAGTGAAAGTCCCGTCTTCCTTCTCCTCACCGCAGTCCACTGGGACAAAGACCACAGTCAGATCTGAGTTGGGTTTAATCTGGTAACGTGTACAAAGTTTCTACTTCTTCTGAAACTGATTCAGAAAAATGACGAGTCACATTTGGAAAGAAAACGGAAACATATTTGATAAGAACTCACTTGTGCATTGGCAGGTGGAGTAGCGAGACCCAGATTTACCCATTGGATTTTTTAGGCCTTGGCATTTGTTACAGTAGTTGCTGGGAATGCCAGTCCCACCTGGACCCTTTGGACCTGAAGGTTTTCAAAGAAATTCAATTGACTAATAAAAAACAACAACAACTTTTTCTGACCTACTTTGATGAAAGGCTTTCTTACAAAATAGATTTGTTCTTTAACGCTAATGATCATTGTCAGCGCTAACGCTAAAGGAACCTCTTATAGCACTGAGAGCATCCTAGTAAAACAGAAAGGTTGTTTCAGTCAAATATGTCTGCTAAAGCTCACCTGCTGTCAGCAAAACAACATCACATCACTGTCTTCTTTTACTAGTGAGACGAGGAAAAATAAAGACAGGCTGTAGAGTAACCGGTTTAGAGTAGCTACAGCTGGATAACTGAGGGTATTCTAATTCTAATTCGACTGTCTGTGATGTTCTCAAAAATGTATTTTTTTTAACCATAAAATTAAAATGATCCACCTAATTAAATATCATATTAATACATTGTATACAAAATTATAAATATAATTATAAAAATGTGTCATCCTGACATAACGTTTATTCACAGAAAGAGCACCGCTCTTACGTTTTTGTCTGTCAGACTGCGGCGTGGAGGGGGATCTGGTCGCCATCGTATTAATTTCTCCAGCTCGGTCCTCCTCCGCCAGGTGGGAATGGGTGTAGTGGTAACTTAGTCCCGTACGGTTCCTGTAGCGCTTTGCACAAACTGCAACAAAAAACAAAAAACATCTATTGCTCAATGTGAAGTATTAAGTATATTCTCTATTTTATATATATTTATATATATATATATATATGTGTGTGTGTGATATTTATATATATATATATATATATATACACATGTATATATACAATATATACAAAAATGTATAGCAATATATACACATGAATATATATACACACATATATACACATATCTATTTATGTATATATATTTATATATATAAATATATTTATATATACATATATGCACATATACATATAGCTATATATGTATATCTACATATATAAATAATTTTATATATACACATATATATGCACATATATACATTAATATCTATTTATGTATATATAAATATATTTCTATATACACATATATATCCACATATATACATATATATTTATGTATATATACATTTATATCTATCTATATATATAAATATATTTATACATACACATACGTATATATACATATATATATCTAAATATGTATATTTGTGTATGTATGCAAATGCATGTAACAGCTGTAAGCATTAGATTTCTGTCTCCGGTGGAGGTTTTAGGATCTGATGGTGAAAGTCAGTCAAATAAAACTAAAACCACAGACAACACAATAACCACCTCTCAGTTACACAGCACCGGGAGAAAAGTAATCTCAGGGTTCAATCAATAATCACTGCACAGGCAGTAACACTAGCAAACACAACAGGGTGTTTTTTTATTCTTAAAAATGCCCTGGGGCAAAAAAGACAGTGAGGATGAGAGGATACCTGAGGGTGTAGACTTGGAGTTCTGCTTTTGTTTGTATCTGTCTAAAACAGAAGATGAAAAGAATTACAAAGAAGAACTGTGTTAGAATGTGTCAACAACAAGAGCACAGGCTGATCACTACAGAGATTTGATTCGTCTAATGTTTGTATGTTCTGTTTAGAGCGTTTATTAGGATATACATTTTTTTTTTTTATGTAAAGTAACTTGACTGACTTTCATCAGTAACGTTAAGGATACTTCAAAGACAGTAATTCTATATTTATGTTTTGTTTTTTTTAACAGACTCCTACTAAAATGTTCCTCGATTTGTCTCTCCACCTTTTTTGTACCAAGGACGGGTCAGTCAGTACCAGTTGGTACCGTTACCAGTCCGGAGACTGGAGGTTGGGGACCCTGATCTAGTCGTTAAGACCTGAAGAAAGTTTGGGAAGTCTCTCAAAGATGACTTGAGATGACTTGCAAATTTTGATTGACCGGTAGTGTCACACGGGGGATTTTCCTCATTTCGAAAGGTTTTTTAATTGGAAGATTTTGCATTTATTTTCCAGGTTCTGCAGGAACTCTCTGTCCTGCCCTGATGTTGTGCAGTGCCTTTTACACATTACAAATTAAAACCCTCCATAAGTACCAGGTGCATTTCAGACTTACTGTCACAGACATATGGCTTATCATCGTCGAGGTCAGCCTTCCTGCGTCCTGAACCCCGACCCTGAGGGAACAAAAAAAAAAAACCCTGTTTGTAATATATTTTTAAAACTAAAACTAAAGGAGATGTAAAAATTAGTATAACCTAATATAAGGTCCTGGCTGCTTCACAACAAATGTCACTTACTCTTCCTTTTCCCCGATGTCTCCTCCTGGGAGTGTCCACCTCATAGTCGTCATCATCATTAAAGGCGTCTTCTGCTGCGTCGGCCTCCAGAACTCTCTGAGAAAGACAGAGAAAAAGATCAATTCCTAAGATTTTATTAACTCATTTATAGCAAAAACAACTGTCATTTCCCAGCTCCCTCTCTTATCGGGGTAGTTGTGTTCCAAGACCCACCACGAGATGGGGAAAAATTGCGAAGTAGAGGCGAGATACTTATTATATTAATTACGTATATATTTACCCTTTAAGAACCTCCCCCACACTGTTATCAACCCCCTCTAGACTGTGTTACCCTTTCACACAGTTACATTCACAGTGGAGTTGTATAACGGTGACGCAGAGCGAAGTGAACGAGAGTGGCCGACAGACAAGGGGAGACGCCAAGAAATGCTACGATGCATGAGCCAATCACGGTGAGGAACAGAGGAGCATGCTCAATTAGCCAATAGTACACCTGGTACGCATTGTATTAGCCAATAGTATGCTGTGTACGATCTCGTCTTGGTAAACAAAGCTACCAGCGATCGTTCGCAAATGCCCTTATCTCAATTTCAAAACGATAATTCACATTTTTTAAAACCAGAACTTTCGTATGTAATTATTTTTCTTTTGGATTATTTTTTGCTATATTCTGCAATATAGCGAATATTTCATGAGATCGAATTTTAAAAAATACACAATGTACAGAGGGAGCAAAAGGAGAACCACAATATATAGAGGGAACACTGTATATCGATCACTCACCTATCTACAGTACCTATCCATCCATCCACTAACCCACCGACCCACCTAACTAACTGTCTACAATCACTTCTTCATTGTGATCACCTTAATGTACGGCTATAAAACTAACTGCTCTTCCAAAGTGACTTACACTGTAAACATCTCAGAGGGAAGAACTGTTTGACCCAACGGTTTGTAGGATGAAGGTTATACATTGTTTCCATTTAAGGTTTAGTTGTTCTGCATCACCACAACATTATAAATAAATGTTCGGGGCGAAGGACGTCAGAGAGAAGGCAGTTTGTCTCTTTGTATCTCCGTGTGACAGCAGTCAGCAGCACCAACTTGGCAAGTGTCTCTGACTGGGCAACACTTCAATCACCGACAAGGCTTTTGATTTTTTTTTTTTTTTTTTTTTTTTGAGGGACATAAATGGAATGTTCAACATTTCCTGTGATTCATTAATGAAGTAATTAAATCCAAGCAGCACAGTAGCTAACACACGCAGAGAGTATTAAACTGAACAAACCTGGATCTCCAGCAGACTCTCCTCGTCATTTTTGGCATCGCCCCGCAGCAGAGCCTCCAGTGTGGTGCTCTGAGCCGGCAAGGAATCCTTTGACATGAGGCTGCCATCTGCACAGTGAACAAAAGAATCCAGAAATTAATGAACTAAGTGAATAATAATAATGAAAGACTTTTGTTTTTCTGTGTAAAAGCTGTAATCAAGACAAAAGTGAAGAGCTGGAGAACATCGTAGTTACAGTATTGTTGTAATGGCGACTCACATGAGGCCCACAGATTTACGTCTGGAATTTGAACCACCATTTGTCAAAATGTCTCTGCCTGACGTACCACTCCAGGGGGCTCCAACTATTTTTGTTGAAGGTCCAGAATGTTTCTGGACCTTGGGTTCCAGACACTCAAATGAAATGAAATAAAAATCAAATTTCTGTCTGACATTGTTATTATTTGTGTTATTCGAAGTCCAGCTGCGGACAGGATTGGATGGTTTGGCGGTCTGGAATCGGCCTGCTTGCCACCAGTTGATAATCACCTCAATCTACCCTATCATCTAGCAGCTAGATAGGCTGGGAGCTCAGATAGGAACTAGCTTTCAGCCAACTATCTGGGCTATGAACCACGATTTTACCCATTTTAATAACAATAATATAAAATGATTTCTTTATTAACTTTTTATATTTTCAATATATTTATTTATATCTATGTTTTTGTTTAGATAGAATTATACAGAATTTTAATTTAATTAATTAATAGAATTAGACAGAATTTTAATTTAATTAATTAATAGTATATTCCTGGGGGGCTGGAACAAATTAACTGGTTTTTAGTTATTTTTAATGGGGAAAATTCGAGTGCTGTTGTGGAACAGATTAAACGCGTTTATCAAAGCCCCACTGTATCTCTTAAGGTCTCTTCCATGTTAGTGTGTCCAATCTTTTTCTGCGACAGCATGTTTCACAGGAACTCTCTTCACACCACCACAGGTCTTTATAATTCTGAAGGAGACTGAGAGAACACCTGAGAACATCTGCTTTCATTCACCTATAAAAATGCATCAGGAACTAAAACATATGCTTTCAATTGGACGGTGTCATTAGTGAGGATGTTAAAGCTGCCCTTTAGAGCCAGACGGTACAGCGTGTCCACAGGGAACTCTACGGGTTCATATAGTCAGAGGTGATGCATCATGGGAAGTTCCTAAAATTTATACCACAGAATCGTATAAAACAAACTTCAGTCATTTTAATGGCCCACAAGGAAAGAAAAACGTGCTGGTGAATACAACACGTTTTAAGATTTCTGTTTTTCCTCCTAGTGGTCAGAAATACTCTTTGGTGAAAATGTTTACATCAGTCGTCCTCAAACTTTGTTGGCTTGTGTCCCCATTTTGACACCCTAAATTTCTGGTAACTTCTGGTAATTTTCTTTCATTAATTACTAGACATTTTAGGTAACTCCCTTGATTTATAGACGACCCCACATGGGGTCGCAAGCCCAAGGTTGAGAAACACTGGGTCATTCTGAGGTTTCTTCCTAAAAACGGCATACCCAAATAAAACAAATCATTTCTGAGCAATTTCAATTTCAAACTCGGTGTGCATCATCTTGGTATCAAAATTGTGCTAGCGCTGCGGAGATTTCATCCATGATGTAAACATCACAGCATGTGTCAGAGTTAATGAGGATGGAACAAAGAAAAATATTTAAATATGTTTTTTCCCCTTAGTCTAATTCATTTTCACATATAATAGTATATTTCTGTTCTGATGTGTGACTGAGTTTAGCGTCAAAAGAAATTGTTTGTATGAGCTGTTAGCTGTTATGCTAACAGGACGTCACACCGCTGCAAACAAAATGCTTTCTAATTCAGCCCCCAGTACTGGGGGCGTGGGGTGGAAGAGGTGAAAATGTAGGTGAAGTGTTTGAAAATGTGCTGAAACGTCTCAGGGTGCATTTTTATCTACATTTTATAAGAGTTACATAAAATACTGTCGCACCAGCACACAAGACGGGGGAGGTAGAAACGCAGGAGAGGGGAGGGAAGGTGCTTATTAACAGTACCAAGAACTGTTCAATACTCTTCCTTTCAGGTGTCTCTGACTTCACATGTGTGAAACTATTTTTTCTCCTGAGCACTCAGGAAAAAAAACAAAAGAAACAACAGCAAACGTTGTTTTTGACGGTCAGTAGAATCTGTTTACAAAACCTCTCGACACAGACCTGCTCCGTGGGTGAGAACTTCAGAACGTTCCATTCCAACTCCAGCTTTCAGTCAGCCCTCCTGCCCACAGGATAGACTTCTGCGGAATATTCAAGTGTAGGAGCAGCTAAGGGCTGCATAGGTAGGAGACAGATGTGGGGGGAGGGAGAGGGGGTGCGTGACATGCAGAACAAGCCCCTCTAACACGTCTCCTCCACAGTGAGGCAGCAGCCCCTCACCATTGTGTCTGCACACGTTGACTTTCAACTCTCCGCGACGAGACAGACCCCCTCTCCTCCTCCACCAGCAAACCTCCCAACCCATGGGAGCTGTGGGGGGGAGGGTGAGGGGGGGTCTAAATATAGAGCCAGCAGCAGCCTGCAGCAGGGAGCTGATTCTGCATGCAGCCCAAGTCTCTAGCACGATGTGAGTTTAGACAGCCTGCCAAGGTGGAGAGACAAGTCTGAGGCTGCTGCCGTCGTCGCCGCCTCGTGCTGCTCACCTTTGTGCTCTGTAGGTTCAATTAAGGTTTGTGTCCCCACACATGGGCCCTGGCAGGCAGCACATACAAACCACTGTTGCAGAAGACGTGAACGCAGCAGCAGGGTGGTGGTGGTGGTGGTGGAGCAACACCTCACTGGGAAACAATAGGCTACATTGGGATGTGTTTGGGAAACAAAGGCTCCGTTCTGTCTCTCAATGCTATCACTCCATCTTGTTTTCCTCACTTCGTGAATTTTTTGCAGCTTCTCAAAGATATTTTAAGTCCGTGAAGATTCTCATTCACCCAGGTCATGTTATCCAAAGAGTTTAATTGTCAGCAACTGGACTTCTTCTTGGAGCTTGAACAACGTTTTGTTCCTCAACTGAGGAACTTCATCAGTTTATGGTTGATATTTACAAGCGAAAAAATGAAAACATCCACCCTCATAATTCTCTGTCTGTCATTGTTTTCATTTCAGAACAATAGATCCCGACACATGCCACAGTAAATAAGCCCAGGGCAGAGGATGAACCAGTTCACTTGAGTGTGTGAAGACTGCAGAGTAACCTAAAGAGAGCGATATGAGGAAGGTGACAGATCCACTCCACAAAGGCGACAGCGAATGGAAACCAGGATGGACGGAGACGACGGCGAATGGAAACCAGGATGGACGGAGACCCTCGGCTAAGGAAGTGTACTTTTTTAAAGTGAGCCTGAGAAACGATGAACTCCATTCAATAACATTTATTAAAAAAACGTCTGCAGTGGCCAAACTCTGAGTGGCTGCCCCCTGCAGCAGTAAATCTAATTACATGTTCTACTACTCTCAAAACAAGTTTACCAGCAGGGGGGGAACGTGGCCTCATGTTGTCCCCGGAAAAAAATGAGTGTATGTCCCTCCTGCTCGGTGTTGAACCACAGAGTTATGTTTCAAGCCAGGCGCTTCCACACCATCATCAATAACAATAGAGATTCAGAGGGGGCGGGTGAGTGAGAGGTTGGAAGTGAGGAGCAGGAAGTGAGGAAACAGGTTTGTTTGAGGACAACAGCGCCTTACCCAGGTGGAGGCCGTAGATGCCCAGAGGAGGATCTGTGGCATTGTGCAGTCGTCTCTTCTTTCTCCAGCAGCGAGCGGGGTATGTGTACATCTGCCCCGCCGACACACCTGGACGACAACAGCCATCAGTGTCACAGCAGTGTTAGAACAGCTACATTTATCTTTGAAGCTTTGATAGAGTTACATTTATACAAAATGACACGGTTCTTTTACACATCCATGAAACTGCCCAATTTTCATATCCTCGCTGGCTCTCCTCTTAGTAGAAGTACAAATTAATCTGATGGCAACTACCTCAGTTACGTAGTACTACTTTCGACTGGAAGCTCCACAAAATTAGTCTGTGGAATCATTAGGGGAATTGGAAGCTCCACAAAGTCATCTGTATGTTGTAAACATACAGGTGTGACATCAAAAAGCAAATTAGTCTGTGGAATCATTAGGGGAAATTGCTAAGTAAACAGATTAAAGATTCCAAGGAATCAAACCACTGGGAGCCGATGTTTTCGATTCCTATCCCTGACCAACAGTGATCGAACGTTGCACTTATTCACTTTTGAAACAGTTGGCACAGATGACTGCATCACTAAAAATGTAATTGTAAACGTAATTATGTAGAACACATGTCAAACTTAAGGCCCGTGGACCAAATGTGGCCCGCCAAATCAATTTCTGTGGGCAAACAAACTCCTCGAGAGTCTGATAAAATAAATATCTATCCTAAAAAGTTTATAGTTATTTTTTCAAGGTGGGTAAATAGCAGGGGTCAAATTCTGTCCAGAATAATTATTCTTTCTTGAATTCCAATTGTAATCAAGCGAAAAAAAGGAAAGAAAGTAAACAATTCTATTGAAACCACTACTTACAGTTAAATTATTTTTAGACTCTTGAATGTTTTTGTGAATATTAGTGTGGGTGTGCGTGTGTGTGTGTGTGTATGTTTTTGTGAATATTATTGTGTGTGTGCGTGTGTGTGTGTGTGTGTGTGTTTGCACACCTGGGCTGCGGTGGTGCCTCTCCATCCAGATGTAGCAGTTGTTCTGGGCTACGCCTGTTTGCGAGTCCAGGAATGGCAGGCGAACGCTGCGCTCAGCGCATAGACGGGCATTGTAGCTGCGGCACTGCTCAATGGCCTCCTTGTAGAACTGGTCACCCAACCTGCAGTGGGTAACATAAGCAGCAGAGGTCAGCGACACTGACTGATGTCGCCCACATCTGCCCTGTCACACCATGTGGCTGCTGCAGCGGCGGCGGCGTGCCACTAAAAATAAATATGACTCTTAGCCAAACCCCTGATAAGCAGATTAGCCTCTTGTGTTAATGGTGTGCTGCATTACAGGCCAGAGTTCATTAAATCATTACTCTGAGGTAGCTACGGTATAATGGGAAACAGATCAATACAATGTAAGGAAGGGCAAACCAGCCGCTCCTATTAGGAAGGAAGACTAATTTCCTTCAGCCCCCCATTTCACTTGTAATCAATACTGTTCGATGTTACTGTTCAAGTTAGAACCAGGTCTCCTTAAAACCCCTTCTGTGCTTTTTCATTTCTGCTCCCTTCATTAAAAACACCGTGGCTAATTCACAAGGACATGTCTCTCAGTACAGAGAGACTGAAAAACAAGGCGGAAAAGAAGAGGTTTTTTTTGTTAATGCACTGCTTCAAATCAATGCAGTGATTGTGTTTACAATGATTAATGTCCTCATTTATTTTTAATTAGAACTAAATAAATCCTGTTTTCCATCCAATGGATACAGTATTAAATACTAACAGAGCATCTTTGACTCTGCAAAAAAAAAGATTAGTGTGGTTGTTGCCAGCTCAGAAAAAGCCCCTCAAAGAAAACTGAATCAGAGTTTTATAAATTATGGTCTAATGATTTTTTTTTTATTTTCTCAGTTCCACCATCTGGCAATGAGCAAATTGCATGGTACAAATCACCAGTTTACTTTATCACTGGGTTATAAACAGAGGAAAACAACAACTTCTGATCAAACGTATGCCTTTGACTTATCGGCTCTAATTAAACCTCATTTCCAATTCCTGCTTCTGAAATGTCGTAAAAAGTCTGGAGAACCAAAATAAACTGTAGAGAATGTGGAAACGCTACCAAGAAATAACCACGAAGCCAAACTGGGACGCAAACCAGTGACCTTTGTACTGTGAGGTCGTGTCACAGCTTTACAGAAATACAAAGGTCAAACTTAAGGCTAAATGTCACAGTGAACCCCAAGAAATCTTTTTATTTTTCACTGTAAACAGCACCAACAAATAAAATAAGCAAATTAAGAATAATACATGAAAAAGTACATAAAAAAATACAAAATATAAATAAAGTTTTCATGACAAAAAATACTTAGTTGCAGTAAGACCAAGTTATTAAGATACAAAATATAAATAAAATTTTCATGACAAAAAATACTTTTTAGTTGCAGTAAGACCAAGTTATTAAGGCCTAAATATACAGTATTTGCTCACATTTAACCCTCCCATTGTCCTTTTGGTGTAGGTGACCAGGTGGTTGATAAGTACTAGTACCAGGTCAGCTATACCTAAAAGGGTTAAATGCACTGCCCTGCAACATGTATAAAAAAAAATGGCAAACTTTATATTCATAAATTCCAATCAGTAACTCAATCCTAGAGCATGGAATCTATACTACAGTGTGTATTTTCTATTGAAGGGGGGTGTAACGAGGAGGACGTCGATGTGGTTGTGCTAATTTTCCTTTTCTGTTTCTCTATTGGTCGGATTTTGTATCTCCATCCATCCATTGTCTGCCACTTTTTACTTTGAATCTCAGGTGGTTAAATAGGTGAGGTTAGCCTTCTGTAATAGTGTAAGTACATGTGCGCGGAACATACTAGACACAAGGCAACGTACCAATATAATTAGTGAGCAAAATGATCAACATCAATAATATCAAAGTTATTGATAACATCTATTGTATCAATGATATTGATTATATATTTAATTTTGATTGATTACAATTGTTTTAATTTAGTTTTTGGATTATGAGTCAAACCTAAATCATCATTTGATTAATTACACTACCTTGGTTTGTAGAGCCACCTGCAGGTGAGCAGTGGGAGCTACATGCTGTTGTTTGATACAACGTGATTTTTGAAGACATTCTTTAAATATATATTTTTAAATAATGCAAAAAAGGAAGAAACTAAGATGTGACTCAACTAAAACGCTAAAGTAGTTTCTTTTTAATCTGCCTCCACTCACAGTGAGTCCAGATTATCAAGTCGAGGAGAAACAGCTCCTGTGACCATGAGGCAGTTTGAAGCCTTTCCCACTTTAGCTCCACTTTCCTTGATGCCACTGAGATGTTGGCAGTCCCTCTGGGTGTCAGAGTTAATATTCAGAGTGAAAAGGGGGGAGGATATATTACATCCAATGGCTGCCACATGCTTGGTATGGTAATTAGCCTATTTAATTAATCTCACAAGAGTGTCGAGTACAAGGGCAGGGTCTAATTTGCCTGCATCGAAGATGTGGTAAAAATTTGTCCTCTCCTGAAACGGTGTGCAGACGAGAGAAAGTAAGAAAGAGGGTGACGACGGGCTCTGGGAGAATGAACGTCTGCTCAGTTCACATAGTTGAGTTCCTCCACGTGTTCTCCATTACAACATTAGGACTACGCCATTTTGAAGTGGAGCTAATGAGTTGTGCACCCTGACTCAAGCCTGGGATCTTAAATTAGAGGTGGAGGAGGTGGAAGGCCACGAGTCAGCATCCTACAGATCCTGCTTTACACACACAAACACACACACTCTCACATACACACACACTTTTCTGTATATCAATACTAGATTGCGTTCAGCGGATGAAGTGCCTTGTTAGGAATGCTGTCCCACACAAAGACCAGACAAAGCCACAGTGTGTTCAGGCATCCTGGGAAAGGGAGGTTCCGTGTCAGTGCAAGTGAGAAGAGTAAACAGTCACAGGTACCGAGCGAGAGCAGGAAGGGGTGAGAGGTGCTAAAAAGACAGAGGGAGAGGGAGAGAAAGAGAGAGAGAGAGACAACAGTAGAAAAGTGAGGAATACAAACTACAGAGACGGGAACACATTTTAAGAATCTTGAAGCCTGTGACTAATATCTTTGGGAGGGGGTTCCTTCACATTAATACATGTTCTTCATATGAATGAGAGGGACTTTCTCTGACTTTAACTACAAAAGCAAAACAGGGGGCTTCACCAAAAAGAGAAGTACCTGCCACTCATTTAACCAGTGATTTATGGTAAAAATCCTTCTTTAATTATCTCATTGTGCCCCTCCGTCATTCCTCTATATCAACACACATTCCGATTAAGACGCGCCGTGTGACATGCAGTATCAGGTTGCTAACAGCAGACCAGCTGACAAACTGCAAATGCTTCCTGAAGCCTGCTGCATGAGCACGCTCACCGTGGCGTGCCAAGTTTCTCCCCACATCACCCGAGCTGAGCAGAGAGCGTGAAATAGGGAGCTCATCAGTCTCAAGTGGAGTGTGCACAGGCGGGGGCAGGGCGTGGCCCCCGCCTGTGCAAATGGGTAGAAAAGGTCCTTTTGGCAGGTCTGGTGTGTCGGTGCGACGCTGGTCCGTCAGAGCAACGGCAGCCCTGAGCAGCTGGTGTGCTGCGCAAGGTGAGATATCGTTCTGACACTTATAATGAGTGACAGGATGTAAACACCTAACTGCACACAGGAGAGACCGGAGTGTGTGTACAGAGGTTTTAATGCAGTGTCTTTTTTTTTTCTCTACAATGACTTCACATTTTTAAACAAAAACAAAAACTCCCAAATGCATGTAAATACATTTGCCAGGCTGTAATTGGGCCAAATTTAAATTTTCTCTATGATATTTTCTGTACGATGACAAATGAAGGCAGCGTTATTCCCCCATGTACACATAGAAATGACTACTACTACGTCTAGTCTACTTTTACTGTAAAACTCCCTTTCTTGTTTACCGGGGGGAAACAAGTTTCGGAATGAAAATAATAACAAAGAAGAATTCCTTTCGGTTGGTTTCTTTGTCTATGTTTTCACTCCAGATGCCCTTCCTGGTACAACCACACCTGTGATTTAGGGACTAGTTGATTTGGAGAGGGAAGTTTTAACACTACACAAGTGTAGACCCCAATATTACTTCAACCACTAACATTACTACCGATACTAAGACTATATCTAATACTACTGCTACAACTAATGACAAAAATTTTTTAAATGTGTGTCTGGTTCATAACATGCAGGACTTTTTAAATCCTTAAACAATAAAATCCCATATCTACAGTCAAGTCACCACTGGAAACATTAACCATCAGCAGAAATAGTCGGTCTAAGTTGGTCATCATTTGCTTAGTCCAGTGTTTCGGAACCTTCACGGAAAATATTTTATTTTTCTTAGAAATACCGCAAACCAACACCAGGTACTGTAGTTGAACTGAAATACAATGATCTCCTATGTTTGAAACCTGTAGTTGAACTGAAATACAATGATCTTCTACTCGCAGTTTCTATAATAATTTACTACCTCAGTGTCAAACCTTGGTCTGTTTAGCTGCACACAACACATATACTCAAAGGAATTGAAGAAAGACTCACGAAAGTCTTAATTTACAGTTCAGAGTCTCTATCTTTTTTTTAAACTTTTACAGCTCTCTGCTGCCGCCTTGTGAAAGATTACGTAATTATTTTTCCTATCATTCTCGCTCAGACAAATAAAGACAAATTTGCAGTAAATATCAAGTAGTTTTCAGGACAATTCAGTGAAACTGGATTATTTTCCATGGTAGACCTGATGATTTCTCATGGCACATTAGTGGGCCATGCCCCAGTGGTTGGAAATCACCGGCTTATTTCTGCTCAGTGAGGCAGAACCACGTGCTCTTTGTAAACAGTAGGCGAGAGTGATGCATACAATTAATTAATTAATTAATTAATTAGAAGTCAAAAAGTTCTAAGACAGAAATTATCATTTCAAAAATTGCCTAATTTTACTCACGTTGAGACACATCAGGAGTTTTATCATTATATCTGCTGTTAAACACATCCACCCTAGATTTCTACAAAAAAAAAAAAAATCTCTCTCTCTCTGATGGAAACATAATATGCAGAAGAGTTTGGACTTTTTTTAATTTGCTTTGGGCTTTTTTTTTCATAAATTAAAATTTGTCTGAGAACCTTATGACTTGCCCTTCCTGCTACTGGTCTACTTGTATTTACCTCAGATTGAACTTTTTCCTTTTTAGCCTTACATTATCCTCCCTCCTCCTCCCCCCTTCACTCTGCCTACACTGATTTTCTGCCGTGTTTCTGGCATTAGACATTGTACCTCCTCGACTTAGTGCACATTCATCCTCCATATTTTCCACTTGAGCAGAGAAGGTGAATGTGAATGTGGGGGTGAGGAGTTAAGGTAAAAACTTGTGGCCAGTGGGCCTCCACTATCAGCACGTTCCTGTCAACGGTTCGTGTGTTACACAGCGATGGTCGTAATGTAAGCATGTGTCAACGCTTGTTTTGCATATCTAATGACAAACTTCAGTTTGCAGAGGGGCAGCTCGGGGGCGGTGTAGGTATGTGTAGTCATACGGGGAGGAAAGATCACTTAACCACAAGTCAACTTTCTTCAGACCTGATGCGCATTTTTATGAAGGCAGAGGAAGATGATCTAGAAACACCACTTCTGTCTCGTCAGCTTTGTTTAGTTGTTGTTTTTTTTTTTTTAATCTGCAGGTGCACTGCTGTTTTACAGGAAGCTACAGCAACCACATGAGAGGAGGAGGAAGAGGAGGAGGAGGAGGAGTAGAAGGTTGTAGAGAGAGGCTGCATTCTTACCACAACCTTTCATTACTCCAATCAGAGCCACGCAGTGTGGGAGAAGGTGGGAGTAAAACCAGACCCTCCATACTCTGGTGCAAATAAAAAGCAGCCCTGACTCACTCTAGAGTCTAGTCTGTGCCAAGACGAAGAGCAGAAGCAGCAGGCCGACGGTCCCTAACCTGTAGGAAGCTCCAGCAGTGGCTGAAATGTTAATGAGCAGCTTTTACGAGCTGCTTTATTAATTAAAAATTCCAGACTCCATTTTAATCAGCAGATTGAAGAGATTACCGTCCTCCACCCGTGCTGAAATGAGGGACGGACCTCACACAGACACCCACCGCCACAGCACACCTCCACCGCAAAGTCAGTCTGGCCTTTCATGTCGCTCATGTGAATGGGGTTGATACAAAATAAGGGTCAAAGTGGTCCAGGGGAGTGAAGCCCAATTAGCGTCAACTTTGTGTAATTATAATCTGACAAACTTGTGAAATGAAGTCAGAAACCTGAGACGGAGGCTAATTATAGCAGACTGAAACACTCCATTAAGCGCGGCGTACAGCATGGAGACATTTTACATCAGAATGCTAAAACGTCTCTCAGCCAAAACGGCAGCTTGACAGCAGACGGCTCTTGTTGGCACACTGGAGAGTCCTACGAGGTAACGGTGTGCATTCTAATAATAGTTAGGGGGAAAAGAGGTGCGATACACTTCCATGACAAAGGGAGGGGAAGGAGCTACAAAGAAGTATTTTTGAACATTTACATCTGGCACTTTAAACATCGGCCGCTCCACTGAACAGCGGAGCGAGGCTTTGATTGTGTCCCAGACGAATTGCAAAACTGAACGAGAGGCAGAGAGTGAGGGAGCGCTGAGACTGTTAGTCTAAATACAGATTAAAGACAAAATTCTACAGTTATAGGAGGCGATAAGTGTGCAGATGTGGGGAGGAAGAGGAGGCGGCGGGGGAGGAAGGTGAGTGGGCGTCCTGCTAAGACCACTTTGGCTGAACGGGCATCCTCTGTCGCCCACTGTGACAACAGTCATAGGCCGCTCAACTGACATCTGAATATATATATATATATATATATATATATGAGAGACGGTTTCAGTGATACATTATAATTTAACTGTGCAGCAACCACAAGTTCATATTAGCTTCAATTAGCATCGGTGTGAAGACAAACGCACACATTTCTATTGGAATTTCCCAACATGACATGAGTGTAGTTATATCAATCTCTGCCGTATGCATAAATGAAAATTACCCACAAATATATATACATATATATGCAGTACCTGAATCAAAAGCAGTTTTCCTTTTGCACATATTCAAGGAATTTGAACCATGTTAGTTTACAGTAGCAACCAGAGCGCCCCCTAATGTTGTTGTTCCTACCACTCAACTGCAGCCCAAAACAAAGAATTACTGTTCACTGTTATTACTGTAGTAAATACAGCAGTTTTTACTACAATATCTCTTTAGCTTATTTTTCTTACCTTCCTTTGTGCAGTGCCATCTACTTCCTGTTGTCCGGTTTACGGTATAGCCTATAATGTGACATTAATCAGCGGCAACTACGTCTGATTTGCGCACCACATTACACAACTGGAATGCTTTCAACTTTGTTTTTAACCAGAACTTGTCAAACTGACCGTTCTGACTTCCTGTTTACACAGTTAATGGAAAGCAGTGTTAATCTGAAGAGAAAGAAAAAAATGCGCTCATATATGAAAGTACTTCAGGAGGTGGTGGCTATGTGTCTTATTATGACAGTAGATAATCATCCATTATTGGTTGTTAATTGTGACAGTAATTAATCAATAAATGAAGATGGAAACAGTGGCCACAAAAAAAAAAGAAAAACACATCCATTTCAGTTTCCTCTCAAAACAGAAGAAAGAAGAACCATTTTAATTAGTCACTTCATCCGGTGTGTACCACATATCAACGATCTATGTGAAACAACTCAAACCAAGATCAATTAGGACCGATCTTCATCAGGTATCACCACCACAGTGGTCCACAACATGATTCAGCACAGTTTTTACACCACAGGCTCTTCCAAACCCAACCTGGCTGGGAATTGAACCAAAGACCTTCTACGACCCGACCACAATTATCATGGATATCAAAAAAACACAATTAAACAATGGAAAATGAATTCTCTGTTTTACATCTGTCTAAAAGTTCTGCAGAAATCTCAATAATCCCATATGCCATTTCTTTTCTCACAGCATAATTTAAAAAACTCGAGACAGAAGAGGATTCAGAACAGCATCCATGCTAACACAGTCCTCACTGTTATTGTTTTCACCCTGCTTCCACTCCTGACACAGACCGAAGCAGCACAGGAAGGAGCCACGACTGACAGTCTGAATGCTGCAAACGTACCTTTTTTTTTTTTTTTTTTTGCAATTCTGCTCACTTGTTTATGAAAGCACGTGCATCACAAAAAAGTGCAAACTAACCTTTAGCACACAATAACAAAGGCACCAGGACAGGCACTGATAATGTCATCATGTAGGGCTAAAAACATAGGTGGGTGATGGTGCATGGTGCTGTGTGGTCCACTTTTGTGTGCTGCAGTCCAGGAAGGTACCAGGGAGGTACCTCTGTGGAGGAGCAGATGGTTCTCCTGCTTGTGGCCAACACTTCCTCTCTGTCGGAGCATCTCTCTGACAGATGGGCCCAGGATCCTGGACCGAGCTAATCTCCAGCTCTCCTCCACTTAAAGGCACAGCAAAGCTCCAGCTCAGCCCCTACTGACCCACGACTACCGTCACGTCCAACCTGGACGCGTGCATTTCAGGAAACGTTGCCTTATGGTCTGGTTTTCATGTGGAATGACATGCAGGAGGCTGGAGGCTGGAGGCTGGCTGTGCCTAACTTACAGTAACATGTCTACCGGTGGAACTGGGGAAACAATACAACAGAACAAAGGAGGAATGGAGGGGGAAAAAAAGGTGGAGCATTTTCTCCAAGTTCAGACACAGGGATGACCACTGCATTGGCCCCTCTGAGCCACAGAGTGTCAGTCTGTTCCAACAGCGGACTCGAATCGCTGACACTTGGGTCGATTTCGCCAGCAAGCATGCAAATACAAAATGCCTCCTCCCTTTGCTTCACCGGGTCCCGACCACGTCTGCGCTCGGAGGAGCCAAAGTTGACATGTCGACAATTCACACCAACTACAAAAACCCACTTTGGGAATGTCACACAATAGTCGACCGCTTCTGCCCAAAGTCGACAAGACACACAAAAATTCGCCTTTTAATTAATTCGGTGCGGCGCAAAGGCACAAATGTCGACAGTTTTCAAATAAATTTATAGCCCCACAGAAGGCGACACGGTGCCGTGCCGAGTGCAAACCCGTGCGGCCGAGAAGCTCGTACGGTGCAGGTAACATGTCAGGCAGCCGACGGCGAATGTTTCAGACTTTAAGGATAAAAGCTGGCAGAATAAAAGAACTATACGAGGCTACTTTGGCATGCAAGAAGTACACAGAATGCATTCGGACAGCTCGGTGCGTCGTGTGCACACGACAGAAAATGGCATGCACGGCGAGGCAGTCGTCAGAGCCAGGCTGGCGACAAAGTAATTATTCATCATATATATATTGTTTAAATTACTTACGCTTTTAGTGGATTCTGAATGACAGCCGCCATTTTGCTACAATGTAACGCAATATCGGCGTCTTGCAGTTCTGAGGGAAACCTAGGGGAATTGACCAATCAGGGCTCGGGCTGAATTCCTCGCCCAATCGGCGGGCAGCACAGACGAATAGGGCGTGGCCTGATAGGGGTAAACTGTCAAAATTATTTTAAAGGGTTTTCCCTTGTATTTAAATTGTACACAACTGAATAACAGCACTTTTAAAGAGACCTCTACTGTAGCCTGGGCGAACACTCCAGAGTGAGATCCACCACACGGTGAGTCAGTGCAGTGCAACAGACAGAGAATAATCAACATGGACACCGGTTTCATTATTTAATTAAAAAAAAAATTATAAATCATTTATCACTGTCCATAAGCTCCAAGCAGATTACTCCCCCTCCCCCCCAGGCTCCTATTTGATGGGGCTAAAATGTTAGCATAGGAGTGGAAGAGAGGCTGAGAACACACACACATCCTCCTACACACAGTTACAGCAGGTGGATGGACACAAAGAGCATGGAAGCAACAAACTCACACACACTTCAGACAGCGCTGTGACTCCAGTCTGTGTTTCCGTGACAGGAAACAGCAGATACAACTTTAATCAGATGCAAATCCTCCACCAATCTCAGCCACATACCCACCAGTCAGTTTGTTTTTGTTTTCAAGTTTAAAAAAAGCAACAACAGCAAAAAAATAATAATAATAAAGACAACAACAACAACACGCTCCTGCCTCCACCTGTAGTGTCTGGATGAAGAGTGCTCATACTGACACCTGAGTCCAAAAGAAGACAGAGACAATACAGGTTTGATTGAACAAACTTAGTTAGCATGGGAGTGAAGCCTCCTACAGGACAACTGTGTGCAATGTTTGTATCTATTATATCTGATGCAACAGTCGGGACAGATTTATCTATTCAGAGACAAGGCTGACAACAACATCTGAACCGAAAACATTTCATGGAAGGAGCAACATAAGAATACAATTTATCTACAAGAGCTTACAAGTAACCACCAAGGTCTTTTCTTTTTTTCTTTTTTTCTGCTTGTGCTTGTGTGACTAAATGTATCGCCACATGTGTCGTTACCTAACAAAGCAACTAAACAGCAATGATGCAAAGTTAAAGAAGTTAAAGCTCTCAGTCACTAAAAACGGTTCCGTTTTGGGTTGTTTCTTTTTTTGTCGTTGCCCCGTTTCAACGCTTTTTTTTATGTGTAACACTGACAAAAATGCATCCAAACGACGGTGGCATCACACATGATCGCTACAATGTATAATATAAATATACAGTAATTAAAAAAAAACTACTAAAAAATATACAATGTAATCTAATAGCAAATGTAACATAACGGAGATCTTTGATGCGCTGGACAAAAAACTGAAAACTGAATTCCATCTTCATCCTGGAGGCGTAAACAAAAACACATAAAACTGATACGTTTAAAGACGCATTTTGAAATTGTTCTCAACCGCAAAACTACATCTAAACACATAGGCAAAAAAGAAAAAAGAAACATTAAAATCAAGGTCTCAAGAAAACAAAAACATGGAACACTTAAAACTTAAAAGTACGATAACATCAACAAAGTGAGGTTTATTCTGAGCCTCTGCTCCTGAAAGGCCATGGATCTCTCCCCGACTCTCATGCATGACATGAGTTATAATATTTATATAGATATATATGTATATATTCGTATAGATTTTTTTTTCTTCAATACATTAATGTTTTTTAACTTTTTTTTTCCTTTCATTTACACTCCTCTAGCATGATTCTATGTTTTCATACAACCACAAACACCACAGACATGTTAACCTGAATGACTCGGCGCAACAGATACACGCAGGTCAACTGGACCGCGGACACGAGTCTGGGACCAGAAGGCCTGATGGTCCGAGTATCTGGAGTTTGGCCGTGTAAGTGGCAGCCTAGAACAGCTGAAAGAAGGCGTAGTGCAAAAACAAACATTGTTGCGATACAGCATGCGATGGAGCCTGCAGATTTACACCTGCACAGATATCGTATACCATCCTACCATTACACGCGCTACATCGGAGAAACATTGCTCAATATTTAGAATTGCTGGGAACTAAACACACCAACCCCACAGGGTTTTCTGACTATCTAGTATTATTTGAAGAATACATTGTTTTTTTTTTAAATATTTTCTAATAGTAGAAAAATAGCTCAACAGCCATAGGGAAAGGTAAAATTAGAGATTTGGGACAGTTCTAATCAAAATATGGACTGCAGAGTGGAAACAGTTCTTAATGCTCTCATGTTCCGGCTGTTCTACAAAGGCCACAGGAATTCTAAAATCCCAAATCTCCTAAATGTTCAAAATATGTGCCTAGAGTCTTCCTCGCCACAGATACGAGACAGAACCATTGGTGTGACGGAGGTAAAGGGGTGTCAAGACTGAGAGCCGGAGGGTGTGTTGGTGTCGGTGAGTGTGTGTGTGTGTGTGTGTGTGTGGTTCTCTTCAGTTTTCTGTGGAAGGAAGGCCATTCCTGTTAAAGTTCTCCAGCTTTCTGGTTGCAGCCGGTGCAGACACGCACGGGGTGGTCCCAGCCCCGCGATGGAACCGACCGGCGTTCTGCGGAGCAGTCGTCACACACCCCCTGACCGCAGGCACGGCAGTGATGCTTGGACAGTTTGGCAGTGAACTCACGCTGGCAGTTGTTGCAGGACACAATGTCCTGGTCCGGCACCCAGTAGGCAGGACGAGCTGCGTCTTTTACCAGACCTGGAAGACAGGAAGATGAGACAGAGCCCATTACTGTGACACAACAACATCGTAGTCACCTAAACTGATTTGGCTACATATGAAACGGCTAGCTTTTTAAAAGCCGATTTAGGCTAAGGTGCAAAACAATACCAAAAACATTTGATACTGCTTTTATTTAAAACACTGACTGCATTTAAAACTATTTGGGACAGTGGTGGCTTGGGTCTGGAAGGTTTCAGGTTCGAGTCCAACAGCTGTTACCACTGACCGTCCCCACACACTGCTCCCTAAAAGCTGCCCACTGTTCACTTTGGTGATGGGTTAAAAGCAGAGGTTACATTTGGTTGTGTGCAGTGGTGTGTTGTGTCACAATGACAAATAATTCACTTTCACTTTTCTTTAATCCATGCCAGTTTGAATCCTCTTCATTTTTGCTATTTAAACACTTCTGCCACAAGAGGGCAATGTGCCCAAACACCAGTTTAAGCACATAATCAGATGCTGTGTATACCAACCCGCTCTAGTTTTTGTTGTAGGCAACACTCACCAAGTGGGATGTCAATAGCAGTGACAACAACACCGATGGTGTTGGTGACGGCCTCTCCAACCTTCCTGGCCAGAGTTCCTCCTTCCTCCTCGTCCACACCTGCATCAGCCAGCTCTGCACAGAGAGATCATTTTGGTGTCAGTCACAAGATTACGGGTTGAAAAACATTTCGTTCCTTTGGCAAAGCGCGTACCTTCAAAGGAGGATCTCTGCTCGAAGCAGACGTCACAGACCCTCACAGGGGTCAGACCCCAGCCTTTCTCAGGGACAGGTGCAGCTTTGGAAGAGCAGCCGTCGCAGAAGCCCTCCCCGCAGGCACGGCAGTGATGCTTGGTGTCGTTGTCCTGGAAGACTGTGTGACACTTATGGCACACCTTGTACGAGAGGATGAAATAAGAACAGATCACAGTCACCAACTAACAGTACCGTGCAGGACGCAGTCAGCGCGTTGTGACCTGAACACACTGGTTGCATTACACCGACGGTAAACATCCCTCTGGACTCCAACGTGTCGACTCAGCTGTTAGTGACGGGCGGGGCTATGTGTCACTTACCAAGATGAGGGAGTTGGGTTTCCAGTAGGCCGGGGCGATCTGATCTGTCAGCCAAGATGTGACGGCCTTGGCAGGTTTGACACTGAGCTCTGACACGGACTGGGCCACCAGGTTGACCCCATCCAGAAGACGTTGTGCGGCGTTGCTGTTGTCCTTTAAAAAGCCATCAGACTGGAGACAGGAAACAGTTGATGTGTGTTATTTTAGACCAGTAGTTCCCAAACCTTTCCTGACTCCTGGAGGGGGGAGGGGGGGAGTCCTCCTACACAGGAACACCCTCACACCCTGCCTCACACACACACAGCTATTACATCAAAACTCTTCAACATTTAAAGTGCTGTCAATCTAATAAACAGCTGTTCTCACTGAACAGAGGAAATACATTTACAAATCAGAGCAGTTTCTTGACCGTGGCACAAAGAAATCATTAAACTTTGAATTCATTTTCCTTTCTGCGCCTCCTGATGCTATAGCAATGCACCCCATAAGGGGGACCCGACCCCACCATTGGAAGTCCCTGCTTAAAGTATTGTGAATTAAATAAATCCAAATGTGTTTTTAATTGCAAATGCAACGATTCCAATATCAGGTTCAGTATCAGGCCTGATATTTTATTAAGACACTGTTTTATTCTGTTTTAACTATGCAGACTTTTTGTTTAATCCAGAATAAAAAACAGGTTCATTCTGAATTGGAAATAAAATATTCTGTCAAAGTAACATGAAACCACAAACCTGACATACAGTATGACCCCCTAAGCCCATTATCCATAAACATGTGCCACATACATAAAAGTGCCTTTCAGTTCATTCCAAATCCATTGAAACCCTACCTGAAGAAGTACTAGCACAAATGAAAACACTCATAATCGTAATGATTGGCTACAAACTGGCCGTGGGAAACCTTTAACTTGCTCTTACCCCTGGCCACACATGCTGGATCTCAGTGCGGACAACTGTATCCACAGGGTCCTGGTTCCCGTACCAAAACTGACGACTCCGATATATCACTCCACAATTGGGACATTCGATTACATACCTTGACACACAAAGAAATGCAGCTCAGTTTCTGAAAGTATTCCCGGCTGATAGGTTAACAGTATACAGTATGTTAGTGTGGACAGAAAAAAAAATAGATTTTAGGTCAGAAACTAGAACACTAGTGCTAAAATGAGGCTCTGCAGAGGGAACATAAGCCTCACCTGACCCTCGTAACAAGTGACCCTCAGGGTCATTTTCCTGCCAGTACTCACCCAGACCAGGCGTATTTGGCCAGGCCCATCCATGGAGAGTCTGAAGAGGCTGAGGTCTTTGGGACAACTATCACTTCCTTTCCTCCTTCGTAGCAAGCCTGAAGTGAAACAGCATGTGGTGACATCACAACAGACTCATATGTTGAGGAACAATAACGACAAAGTAAAAAAAAAAAAAAACAACCCACGAATCTCAGGTGAAACTTAGTGAAAAAATAAAGCACAAGTATAGAAATGATTAAAATTATAACAGAAAAAATATGTATATACATATATACATATGCATACATATATACAGATATACACATGCATAGATATATACATATGTATATGCATACATATATACAGATGTACACATGTATATGCATATATATAGAGATATACACATGTATATGCATATATATAGATATACACATGTATATGCATACATATATACATATGTACACATGTATATGCATCTGTATATACAGATATACACATGTATATGCAGACCCTATATACTGGCAGGATTTGTAGTATTAGCGTTGTAGCACATACATTTAGTTTTTTTTGTTGTTGTTGTTTTTTGTAGTTGTTGGCCTGTAAAAAAGATTCACATTAACTCAAAAGGACACAGGATGTGAATCTCTTATTCAGTTTACCTGTGTGAAAGTGTCTAAAGTCGTACAATCACTTGTATTTACCTTACAGGTGTAAATGTGATTATCATACTGAGCGTTGTAACGACAGCGATGCTTGGCCTTATGGCACACGCCCTCTGCTGTATGGTTCATGCTGTTCTTGCAGCCAGACCTGGGGTGAAAATAAAGGTCAATTTGAAATGAAAAATAAGCCGAGACATATGAGGCGATCACATAATGACAGGTCAAATTTATAAAAAGAAAAAACAAGGACTGACCCACAACTGAGGCACAGGCTGGAGCAGGTAAAGTATTCATCAGGGAAGAAGCAGCTGTGAGAGACCTGGTCGCCTGAAATTTCACCGCTGAAGCGCTCACTTAGAGCCTACAACACAGCAACAACCAGCGTCTTAGAACACAACAACTGTTACCTTATACACCACAACAAGGCTGATGAGCTGAGCAACTATACAGAACCGTTATATATTAATCACTCATGTGTGAGATGATTAAAATATATATAATCACTAGTTAATATATGATTAATTGCTGTATATATACTGTACATTGATATATAGGTATGTATGTCTGTATATAAGTATATATAAAAAACATACACAAATTATTAAACATACATACATAAATATAAACATACATAAATATGTAGTTACACACACATATACGTATATAGATACATAAATATATATATAAATATACATATATTTACATATATAAATATATATATTTATTTTTATATTAATGTATATACAGTACATGTATATGAATAAACACAGGTACATACAAGCATTCATAAACACACACAAATATATATTTATAGATATATGTAGAAGCTTTGAGTCCACACCTCCATTGCTTTAAAGATGACCACAGGGGAACGTGGGGATCGGGTGCTGTTGTTGTTCAGCAGCTGCTCAAGTTTATTCTGCAGGCCACGGAAGTCAGTCGGTGGGTTGAGGGTCTGGGTGCCCACGTAGTGCACAGAACTGAAGGCCTCGGGAAAACGGGACAGCTTTCGGAAGCGCTCCAGCAGCAGCCTGTCCACCGACTCTGAAGAATTATCTACAAACACACACACAGTTAGAGGCTGAAGGACGAACTGTGTATATACAGATCATAGATCATCTGTAAGAATAAATGTTTCAGTGCACTTTTTGTCCCACCTTTGTGACAATACTGTGATTGGATGTAGTGATTCTGTTAAGGTGAAAAACAACCATCCTCCTAAAATACCCCTGGATAGGAATGTTGTCGAGTCAGCCGTCAGCCCCCAGGACAACAGCTGTTTACATTGGGTTGTGCAAATTCTTTCACGGGTCACATCAGGCTAAGTTCATGTTTTCACTTGACACATCATTGATAGACCAAAGTCTTCCCACCTGTTTTGAATGGTTTTTGCCCTTGAGCAATAACTACTATCGAAAACAATCCTATTTTTATATTTGTCAGTTTGATCTGTAACTGAATCTATCGTTAATGAAGATTAAGGTCAAGTTAGGTCTTACATCATTATGCTACATATTATATATTGGATGTTTATTTATATATTTAGTTATTACTCAACCTTTATTGTGTTTTGTTGAAGCCAAACATTTTTATACTTAAGAGCTATTTTTTTTCCACAATGGCACAAAAATTTTTTTTGACCTGCTACTGCCCTCTTGCAAAAAACTCTGCGCCCTTTAACGGGGGTCTGCCTCCCACTTTGAGAACCACTGGTCTAAGGTAAGATGCAGACACAATTTTAAAAATCCCAAAATTCTACATGTTCCTTTCCAGTGACGAACAACAAAGAAAGATCAACCACAGGCTCATCATTACTCTTGAATGCATTCTTCAAACCACTGCTTTTCTTTTGAAGTTGCTGCATTTTCAGGGACAGTGTATTTACGTAAACATTTAGGTGAAAGGTAGAGAATGCTGGTGTTTGTAAACACACAGTGTTTGCAAAAGATTTTCAAAAAATGGCAGTAAAAATAAAATGAAAAAAATATATATTCTATTCAAAATTCATACAGAGCCTGTGACTCTACCAGTGTTTTTACCTGAGCCAAGTAACTTGGTGTGAACTGTTTCATGGAAAATAACCACGGTAGGACCCAGGGTGGACAACGGAACGTCCAGGCCACAGCGAGCTGTGGTGGCCTTCAACTCCTTGGTGAAATACTTCAAGTAGGCATCAGATGCGTCCCCCAGGAATTTGAAGAGGTCGTCGTGGAGACGATCAGCGTGGGTGCGATAAATGATGAGGTCAGAAATGGCCAGAACCTTCAGTAAGAGACGGATCCTTTGGCCGTGTTTGGAGCTGTTTCCCAGCAGACCCTCCGTGTCGATGACCACCACGTTGTGGACAGGGTCGAACGCCGCCCACACGCCCACCGTACAGGATTCTTGTGTGGGAGAAGTCTTGAACACCTCTCTCCCCATGAAGAATGTGTGATTCAGGGTGTGAGATTTGCCTTCGCCGGTGTTTCCGAAGATGGACACCACCTTCAGCAGCTGGTCAGAGCAGCAGCTCAGTCGCTTCACAAACAAGTCTTCATCTTTGATCTGAAACAAAACACAGAAAGGAAGTGGCCCTAAGGTTTCAGGGTAACAGTTTATATGCATGTTATAGTAAAAACAGTGTCACTTTTAGGGGTTAACATAACATTTTGCTAACATTGACAGTTGTTAGGGTTAAAACAGACAATTTTAGGTTAATAAACAGCTATAAAAACTTTACCTCTAAGACTGGATCTATAATAAATTGTTTTTCTGGTTCTGAGTTTTGGGCTAAGTGACCAAATACTGCTACACAGGTGGAAACTGGAGCTCTTACTAAATGTTGGATGAAGTCTTATGAGGTTTTGCTAAGCTAAAAATGCTACATGCTATGTTCCACTGTGACCCTTTGGCAGCCATCAGCTATTGTTTGTTGACACATGTTATACCTAATAAACCTCCATTCGACATCATAAACCTGGGTAACGTTGGACAACTCACCTGCATGTCCTCCTTCTCATCCACCAAGAGAAAACTGAAAACCTTCTCCAGAAGTTTGGCTCTGCGGGATGTGATGTCATCCACTATTTGAACGGGGGGCTGAACAGATGCTTGGACACAGCTGACTTCTGTTGCTTTGGTGGCTTTCGGTGGTGGCGGGGACGACGTCAGCAGGTGTTTCTTCTTGCCGCCACCGCTGTGGGTGCGTTTCTGGCAGTCTTGGCACAGGTTGAGTTTGCACGTCTGGCATCGGACCACGGACCTGTGGCGTTTGCCATTGTCTTTATTGCCTCCTTTACAGTTGTCACAGTAGGGGACGTGCCCGGGGCCGATCTGAACTCGTTCATGGTTCTCCAAATTCTCCTGGCTGTGGAGCTCGAGGTCACAGCGAACACACTGCAGGCTTTTGCATTCATCACACTCAAACGCAGCCTCCTCAGAGCCGCCCAAGACATAACTTTCCTGACATATCAGACTTGTATTAACTCCTTTTTCTGTAGATGAGCCATGGCCACTCATCGTTTCCTACCGGGTTTCACTTGAGCACACAGCTGTACTATTTGGAACAGCTTTAACAAGAACACCAGCTATTTTCAACTAGAGAGCAGTGAAATTGCACAACATTATGTAACACTGGCAGGTGAAATGGCAAAACACCCTTAATAAAAAAAAATAACAGCTGCCTGTTCAGAGGAAGAAATAAGCAGAATATATTATTAAATTAATTTTGCATCTCGAGAATGATATATTTTAAAGTACCATTTAGTGCAAGTGAATTTAAGGCAGTGATATGGATAACGTCGTTGCCTCAATTTACAGATACTTATTGTTGACGAGCGGCTCACTTGTTCGCGCATCAAAGTTAGCAATTAGCCGCAACATAAACTGTAGCACATCTGACCTTAGTCCTACATTAACGACACGAACAGAAACCTGTGGTGATAATCTCAGTCAAACGAGACAACAACAAAATAAACACTCCCTGAAAAGACGACTGTGCAAATGTCACCGCTAACAACAGGCTAACGGAGCGTCAACAGCTGATCGGTAAAAACTCGGCAAAAAAATATTCCTTACCGAGGAGGAATACTTGCTAACAAGCTGCTGCTGACGGACACTTTCAAGTTTACCCAAAATAAAAAGCTGTGACCAGGGAGAGAAAGGACCGTTTCAGTGCATATCCGTCCAAAATAAGCAGCTAGCCTCCCCTCTGAGCTGCAAGAAACACATCAACAAAAACAACGACCATCGACGTCACAAAGCTCGACACATCAGTGGATTCTTTTAAGTCGTTCATTCACCTTATTTCGTTTAAAAGTCTTTTTAAAAATACTCTTATAAAAAAACAAGTGTTACTGTCTTTGAATGCGTCCGAGCGGTGTCATTGTTTTGTTCTTCAGCCCCCTCCCTGGCAGACCGCTGCTCTGGCTGCGTTATTTTGTTGCCAGGTCAGATCAGCTGATCAGATTATTTTCAGTCACAAGGACACCGTACTCGAGGGCGCTGTGGCATTATGGGAAATGAAGTTCAGACAGTTCAAATGAAAACGGTTGATCAAGTAAGGCATATTATATTATATTATATTATATTATGCATGCATCACTAACACATTTTAGATGTGGAAAAAATGTCCATGTGTAGATGACATTAATTTTTAGCTAATCTTTGGGACAAAAATAATCACTTAAATATGTGTGATTATATGGACATAAATGTTTTATTTAATGGCAGATTTGTTTTGAGTGTAGCCTATTTGATACATTTTGGGAACGGCACCAATGCAGAACACTTAAACCTTAATATTTCCACATACTGTACCTAAATACCCCTGTGAACAATTTCCACATACTGTACCTAAATACCCCAATAATACCCCTGAACTGCTTTCTATATCTTTTAATTATTTGTTTATTCTTTATTTTGTTTTTTGTATTGTTTTGTTGTAAAAGTTTTTTGTTAATTTTAAAATTTACACGTGGGGACGTTTGGTCACTTGTTGCAGCCTCAAATCAACTTTACTGAATACATTAAACTAATGTGTCCAATAATTAGTCATTTTGTAAATGTGTCTGTTGATAATAAAGTAATTTAAAGGCAGTTAGAAAAGACCCTACAGCATTAGCACCAACTCAGAGGCCAGATTTAACTGGCTTTTGTCTTGCAAAGTAACACTTCAAAGCAGCAGCAGGCGACCATTTGTCCCATGCGGCAGTTTGAATTTTCCCTCCGTTTTCAAACTGACAGGATCCTCCGGTGAAGAATTTACAGTCAGCGCAGTGTGTGCTTGTTTGTTTTTGTTACATTTACTCAACAAACTTCAAACTCAGATCAAAGAGATTTTCAGAGAACGAGGAACAGCCATGAAAACAAACAGACGAGTACGAACAACAGATAAAAAAATGACAAAACGTAAAGATTAAAGAGTGAAAGAGAGGGAAATGTAACAGTCATAGTCAAGTAATGTAAAGTAAATTGTGAAGTAAAAAAAGGACATCGCATCACTCTTTCTGTGTCAGATGTACTTGAAGATTTTCTTGAGTCCATGAGTGCAAATATCCCTCAGCTGTTTATACAGGTTCAGCTTCTTACACCCAGTGGTGGATTTCTTGTGTTTAATGGCAGCCCACACAGCGGAATCAAACACATCCTTCAGGTTGTGTTGGGTCAGAGCCGAACACTCTACATAATCACAAGCCCTGATTCTCTGAGCCATCCTTCTGGCTTTACGGAAGTGCACTGGTTTGGTGTTCCACTGGTGCAGATGAATGAGAACGTCCACACTGTGCCTGAGGTCCGACTGAGTTCCCACCAGAACGATGGGAGACCTTTGGTTGCCGGCACGGATCTGCGGGATCCATTTGGAGGTGATGTTGTCAAAGGAGACGGGGTCGACCAGGCTGAAGCAGAGGATGAAGACGTCCACGTGGGCGTAGCAAAGAGAGCGTAGATGGTCAAAATCCTGCTGGGAGATCCGGAATGACGATCAGGTGGCGGGAAAAAAATACACAACCTTAAATCTGAATGTGGAAATCTGAGAGGAATATTCACCTGCCCAGCTGTGTCGATCAGTTTGATACGAGTCGGGACGCCATTCACGTGAACCAAACCTCAAAATCATAAAAATAAAAAAAAGTTCCATCTCTACATGAAGCATCAGTTGCAGTTTTTAAACAGAATGAATCTTCACTCACCGGTGAAGACGTCAAAGACCGTGGGCCTGCACTGGCTGTTGTATCCATTGAAGACGTAGCTAATGATCAAGCTGCTCTTCCCCACGGCTCTGTCACCCACCAACATGATGCTGACTTCCTCTCGCTGCCTGGTCGGTTTGTCTCGTCTCTGACCTGCCTGTGCCATGTTTCCTCCTAACATCGTTCACTTATCCCAGCAGATCCATGCAGGGGAGCAGCGGTGCTGGAAAAGACGTCTTCTCCTCCACCGAGGCTGTTGGAGCCACTGGAGGCCGTGGGACACCTCCAGTTTGAAAGAGCAAATAGCGGGGAGTGTGGGGGGGCTTCTCTTTGATGCAGATCTACATAGTCCCTCCTACCAGGAGGGGATGACCACTGTTACAGTAGCTGATCAGCTCAGGTCTTGTGATTCATTGTGTTCATTGTTCTTGGAGTTGGATGTTCTCCCTCCGAAACACCCAAACACAGGCCCCGTTGCTTCGTTCGTCCAAAGAGTTCACATTTTGTCTCATCTAAATGTCTCAGTTTCAGTCCGGTCCTTTTCTGCGGAGGTCCATGGTGACAGTTTGTTGACACATCTTTGCACTCAGTAAATGCTTCTTACCAAAAAGACTTTTCTGAGGAGGATTAAATATATGGTTCCACTGGGGCTCAGACCCAGGACCTTCTGTGAGTAAAGCAGGCGTGAAAACCGCTACACATGAAGTAGTACAAAAACTGATACATTACTGAATTACTCATCACACTAAAATGACCGGGATAAGATTCACATCTGTGGTTTCCTTTCAACAAACCAGAAACTCTCACCACTCAGCAGCTTAAAATGAGTCTCACCATTAGGGGGCGTCCGGACTTGCAGTTAAATACTTCATTCACGTCAGTCAAAAATTTGACTAAAGAATTCCTTTATGTCCTGGAAGTGAAACTTCAAACTAATGTCAGTTTTCCAGTTTTCTTTTTTTTTTCCAGCACCATTTGGTTTTGTACGTGTTTGGTAATAATTTCTATTCTGTGTCTTGTTGTGACCATTCTTCAGTTTACATAAAAAATATTTTTCTTTGCTATATTTTTTTACGTAAGTGGCATCTTACATCTAATAGATCAGTTTTAGTTTGGTTAGAATACTTTTGTTTTAATTCTAACATTTGTAAGCCAGGGCCCCTCAACATACACTGTACTGCAGGAGTGTCCACACTTTTTTGGCTTAGGAGCTAATTTTTTTTTGAGTTGAAGTGATCTACCTACGTAGATTGAAAACTCTAAATATACATTTACTACTTCTATGGTCCTTACCTTAACCCACTTTAGTGATTAGCATCTTTAAAAAAATTAAATCTATAATTTTATTAAATATAAATAGTAACCCACTTTAGTGATTAGCATCTTAAAAAAAATCTATAATTTTATTAAATATAAATATATTATTATATTTAATATTTTTAAATTTTTTAAATGCAATTGCTCAGAATCTACCAGACTCCCTTTGAGATCTACTGGTAGATCCCGATTTACTTATTGGGCAATAAACTTATTGACATTAAACTGGACTCTGTGCCATGTTTCCTAGGTTGGATTTATGTACTCTACTATTTAAAATAAACAAAGTTGTTTTTTTTTCTTCTTATTTTCAACATACATAACATAACCATTTTAGTATTAAACCAGTTGAATTAATTTTCATCAAATAAACAAGAGTAATACCAATGCAGGACAACAGAGGGCGAACTTGTCTGAGAATCCTCTGCAGCTCGGTCTCCACTCTGCTTCGATGTCTGAACGGAAAAGACCGAAAACAGAATACATTAGGAAATTAATTTTTGTATCAATCAAACCAATACATTTGCATTATTTTGATACAACAATTTGATTTTTTTACACTTATTTTATTTACTTATCTGGTGTGTACGACTTCTAAACATAATTTTGGTAGATATGTTAATTTAGATTATATCCAAAACATTTGGAGTTGGGGAGGTTGTGGATCAGCGTCCCCTGGACTGGGATTCAAACCGGCAACGATCAGATTAAAGCCCGATTCTTTAACCACAGGGCTACTGTTTGCCACAATGCAATGTTATATATATATATATTAACAGTAAAATAAAAATCTGCCGAAGAACGAAACTTTAATTTTTTTCAGACAAAAATGAAATCGTTGTGTAACTGTAACACAACGATCAGATTTAAATGTTGATAACGACAGTGATAACTGGGTCAAGAGGGCAGTAAGAGCACACACTCCCTGCTATAATATTACCAAACAGTAACTGTGCACCAGCGCCACAGTGTTCACAGTAAGTGCGGGGTCACGATGAATGAGTCCCCACCATTATCCCATGATTCATGTGTGTTTAAACTGCAGGAACCCACAGCCCACAGCAGGTCACAGCAGTGTGGCAGCTTCGGTGCAGAAGACATGCCCTCACATCGTAAGAGTGGGAAACATTTGGGGGCAAAAATGCAGCTTTAAACAAAGTGTTTCGCTCCTTATCTGTTTTCTCCTGCAGGAAACGCTGCGAGCATTGTGTTGTAAGGTCTCCGCTTCCTGTTTGCCGCTGTTTCTCACTCACATGTTCTTTTCTCCCTTTCTCTCCCTCCTTTTTCCCACCACCTGCAGCGCATGTGTGACACACTGTGTTCCCCACGGACAGAGGACAACATCTGGTCGTCCCCTCCGCTGCTCGTGTCGCGTTGCCAGTTCGAGTCCCAGGCCGCACCTCTGGCAGCTGTGAGTCACAATGCCGTCCCTCAACCCAAGGTAAATGTCAAACACGGGAAGTGGTCTTTAAATATCGCCACATTCAAATGTTTATTTCCTGGCGCAGCTCCTTTCATCATCACTGGTCAAACACTGAGCAGAGGATGAGAAGGTACAGACCAAACCAGAAGGTCAAGGTTTGTTTGTTTGTTTTCACAATTCTACTGGTAAATACGTTTATTTACATTGTCAACTTTAAAACATTTCATTTGAAAAAAAGAAATCTGACGCTGCATCACAAATGAGCTCAGCCCCCGAGAACCTGACAGTATTTTGGCACAAGTGATGAATGACTTCCCTTTTTATTATCAGGGACCGTAATTTGAAGCTAATCAGCGAAAACAAGTTCCGAAGAATATTCCAAGAACCAGGGTTGGCCGCTTGTGGTGGCCATTCATATTACAAAAGCGCTTGTATCATTCATGTACAGTAGGTGTCAGCAGTGAGCTGGTGACTTAAAAAAAAGGTGTCTCAGTGGCCCGATATTACCGATCAGGGTGTATATCTGTGAACTCTCACGCTCACACCCACTGTCATGCAAATAGTGACACACAGAGACACGCAAAACGTGTCCTGGCATAGATTTGTGGAGGTAATCTGCTTACTAAGGGTCTCCCAGTGCCCCACAGTCAAAGAGAGTCCCTAATATTCTCTCTCAATATTGACAGGGAACAAAAACTCCTTCCAGTCAGGTTGACAGACTGTCGGAACTGTTTGAAATATTTCGCATCTAAGGTCCATAACCTTAGATGCCCCTGTGTCCTTGAACTTTTGAACTGCGTAGATAGAAATATGGAACGGCGTTGATGTTGAAAATCTAATCTAACAATAGAAAAATCTGTGAGATAGGTGTTAAAGGATTATTCTCCTCTCTGCTAAGCTGGAGATCAGTGCCGTAGACAGTCGACCAAACCAGCGGCTGACACAAAGATGAGGCCATAAACAGCCATTTGCATAACATTTCCTGCCTAATGTCCCTTTAAGTAGACACTGGCTGGGCTCTAAAGTGGTGTGGATTAAAGCTGAGGTGCCCCCCCCCCC